CCTGGAGTCGATATAAGATTGTCGTTTTGCCCGCACCGTCGAGACCTAGAATCAGGATCCGCATCTCCCTCGCGCCAAAGAGACTACGGAAATAGCTTAACAGGTTTCCTAAAAACCCCACTGTAAAGTAACCGTCAATGCGACAAAACGTTATATAAATAAAAACAAATCAAGAAACAAATGTAATATTTTTGAAAAATTTGTAAATATGCCATATTAATGAAAAATCCTTCATGATCAATCAGAGGGGAACAACATAGTATAATTAAGTTACAAAAAAGTTTCTTTAAAGAGAAATCACAATTAAACATACGATTCATCATCGGCCAGAAGTTTTAAGAATCTTCCAGTTTAGTTTCAAGTAGGAATATCAGCGAGAGAAAAGTTTCTCTCAGTCGGTAACATCAGAAACGTTCAACTGCCAACAGTCTCAACAGACCATATGCGTAAAAAAACTCGCGCTACGGTAAGACTGTAAGTTCAAACTAGTAGGTGCTCTTCGAACGATCGAACCTAACCACTAGTTTTGGAGAAAAGTATATAAATATTAGCTTGCTTAAATAGATTTATTAATCAACTGCTAAAACAGTTTAGTTATAATTAAGGAATTGCTCAATTGCTATTAAACTGAATCCGCAGCAGCAAGAACTGTAACGCTAATTGCATCTTAAGGTTGGGAACCACCTGTCAGTCGTTTCTTCTATTCTTTTAGATAACGGGCTATTTTGGTGCCGGGGTCGAGGTGTTCTTTGGTGCATTTTCTGAATGAGTTTCGTATTAAGGTAAGGTTGCACGAGTATGGTTATGAGTTTTTAACAAGAGTGAGTTCAAATAGCATGCATTTATTAGCATTTAAACATGTAACAGAGGAAACAATGCCGGATCGGTTTTGTTAATTTCCTCCTGCCTGTTAAATTAGCCTTTTTCCGTTACATCATGCCTGCTTGCAAAATTTGTGTTTCGACACTGGGTTTCTGTGCAGATGATGCTGCTTGCATTCCATTTTATGACGCGTTCTTTTAGGATGCTGTGCTCCGCAACGGTACATCCTTTTCATCTGCTCTTCTGAGACAAGAAACGTGTTCAATAACTCGGTCGTTCAGTTTCCTTCCGCTTTTAAAATGTAGCTCTGTTCCAATGATCATCTTATCCCGTATACAAATCCCAGCAACCTGTAATTTTGGTATTGTGGCTTTCATGTATACAAGGTTGCATGACTTGCTTGGGGATCTATAAAGTCATTACTCGTTACAAACTCATTACCATACTCTTTCAACATTGGCTTAATACCAAAATAATTCAAAACGTACAAAGAAAAGCCACGGTGCTGACAGAAAATCAGAGTTCGTCACCCATAAAACAGGAAGACAAATAGTACAGATTTGTCCCGACCTGAAGATGAAAGATCATCGCATATCTTACTCATGATTCAACTTTCCAGAGTCCGAACCATTCCGACAGTCAGTTTCGAATACCACTGACCGTTTCGGGTCGCGGAGGTATACGCGTCAGACAATATCTCCAACGTTATTGATCCTCTGTCAGCACTTCAATTTCGGCAGTAGACAACAGACGTATAGAGTAGACTCCCTTAATACACTTGCACCAGATTAATCTCGGCCTTCCCAGAAATTTTCGGTCGGTTGAATAATTAATAGCTGTTTCACCTTCCTTACTGGAGGCCTTTGCAAGACTTACCCAAACCATCGTACCTGTTAGTATTCAATCCGGAGAAGCAGCAAATATTAGTCAAACGATTCGTCTCAGAAAGCCCATTAAAGCCGCTAGTATCATGGATCACATTTTTCTTCATGACCAACTATTCACGACTGCAGATGAGCAATGGGACGAGGATCGACCTGATAACAGAGGTATTAATCCTGAGACTCAGTCCTGTTTTAGTCAAAAGTTTGCGTTAGTTCACGCAGAACAACGCTAGCCGTTTCAGTTTGCCGGTCGATCTCTTCCTCCCCTTTTCATCACCAGCAAACACCACCCCGAGGAGTGTGAACTTTATTGCCCTGCAAAGCGGACAGGAGAACAAGAAATTACTAGGCATTTTGATTTAGATGTTCACACGCATGCCGGCTACATCGCCAACTTTTGCAAAGAGCGCTAAGATCGGCTTCAAAAGATGCCAACAAAATAACAGTGTGCAAATTCGAACTAATTAAGTAATTAAATGAAAATATCAATTAAATAAATTAACATTTGCTAAATTTTTAAAATCTGTAATGCCTACAGTAAGTTGAAACTTTTATGGAAGAAAACCGACGACCATGAAAAGTAATGGTGACAACATTTAAAAAAATGTTTCTATTAGAAGGAAATTTGAATAATCAGTATGCGGCTTAGCTGAAAATACCAAGAAATACCGACGTGGAGTCTTAAATAAATGACTTCACAAATACCTTATACTCACTCTTTGAAATTACTACAGTAAAACTGTCATTCAGACTTAAGGAAAAAAATAATTAGGTCGCCGAATACCCGAAAATACCGTATTTTTCGGACTATAAGGCGCGCTTAAAATCCATATATTTGC